AGCCATTCAAGTAATCCATGAACCCCTCCCGTCACCCCTCAGTCCGAGATCTCGTTTCTCTCGTACAGACCTCTGTCCTCCTTTACTTCCAAGTCTTCTAGTTAATCTTCCAGTCTGTTGGTTCATCTTCCCGTCCTGGCCCTCCTCCACTTAGAAACCTCCAAAGTCTGTTCCCGCTGGGATGCCAGTCTTTGTCATGAAGTCATGAAGCCCTTCTCTTTTCTGCCAATTTTTGTGCTATTTTTTGTATCTCGGAAGAATAAAATAGATGTGTCTGTCTAAGACCATTTAAGATTAGCCAGCCTAAAGACTGGGGTGAATGAACAGCATAGCACAGAAATGCCTTATTTGGATTCACATTTAGAGAAGCCATGATTATCCTTAATAATGTTACTGACAGCTCTTCTTCTGGGTGTACCTTTTAGGCGTACCAGTAAGAGGAGAGCAAGGTGTTCCTGGACCAGCAGGCCCGACTGGACCTCGAGGGCACCCAGGTCCTTCTGGACCACCAGGAAAACCAGGCTATGGAAGTCCAGGGCCCCAAGGGGAGCCAGGGTTGCCAGGACCACCAGGACCATCGGTTACTGGGAAACCAGGTATACCAGGACTCCAAGGAAAGCCAGGAGAAAGAGGACCATATGGACCCAAAGGAGATATTGGACCAGCTGGTTTACCAGGACCGCGGGGTCCACCAGGGCCACCTGGAATCCCTGGCCCAGCTGGGATTTCGGTAGCAGGAAAACCTGGACAACAGGGACCTACAGGAGCCCCTGGACCAAGAGGCTTTCCTGGAGAAAAGGGCGGGCCAGGAGTCCCTGGAGTGAATGGACAGAAGGGGGAAACAGGATATGGGGCTCCTGGCCGCCCAGGTGAGAGGGGCCTTCCAGGTGCTCAGGGGCCCATGGGACCACCTGGCCCTACTGGAGTAGGGAAAAGGGGTGAAAATGGGCTCCCAGGTCAGCCAGGTATCAAAGGTGTTCCAGGCTTTCCAGGGGAAAGGGGCCCTGCTGGCCCACCAGGGCCCCAAGGCCCTCCTGGGGAACGAGGACCTGAAGGCATCGGGAAGCAAGGGCCCACTGGTTCCGCAGGTCAGCCAGGGATTCCAGGGGCCAAAGGTCACCCTGGGGCTCCAGGATTAGCTGGGCCCCCAGGAGCTCCTGGTTTTGGCAAACCAGGTTTACCAGGCTTGAAAGGGCAAAGAGGACCTGCTGGTCTACCAGGGAGCCCAGGTGTCAAAGGGGACCAGGGGCCAGCAGGTCATCCTGGAGAGCCAGGTCTTCCAGGACCCCCTGGAAATATGGGTCCCCAAGGGCCAAAAGGCATCCCAGGCAACCATGGAATCCCAGGTTCTAAAGGTGAGGCCGGGCCCGCAGGACCTGCTGGCTACCCTGGGGCAAAGGGAGAAAGAGGCTCCCCAGGTTCAGAGGGTAAACCAGGGTATGCAGGAGAGCCGGGTCTCAATGGTCCTAAGGGCAGCCCAGGTTTACCAGGCCCCAAAGGTGACCCTGGAGTTGACGGGTCTCCTGGTCTCCCAGGTTCTGTGGGCCCAGCAGGAGCTAAGGGAGTGCCTGGACATCCTGGGGAGCCTGGCCCAAGAGGTGCTTCTGGAATACCAGGTACTAAAGGCCCCATTGGGCCACCAGGTATTCCAGGATTCCCTGGATCTAAAGGGGATCCAGGAAATCCAGGTCCTCCTGGCCCAGCTGGAATAGCAGCTAAAGGTCTCAGTGGACCCATAGGGCCACCAGGACCTCCAGGCCCCAAAGGCAATGCTGGAGAGCCAGGCCCTCCAGGGCCCCCAGGACCGCCTGGTCCTCCAGGCCAAGAAGCCATGCCAGAGGGCTTCATAAAGGCAGGCCCAAGGCCAGGTATTTCTGGAACGCCTCTTGGTAGTGCCAATCAAGGTGTGACAGGAATGCCTGTGTCTGCTTTTACCGTCATTCTCTCGAAAGCTTACCCAGCCATAGGCACCCCCATCCCGTTTGATAAGATTCTGTATAACAGGCAACATCATTATGATCCAAGAACTGGAATCTTTACCTGTAGGATCCCAGGAATATACTATTTCTCCTACCATGTGCATGTGAAAGGGACCCACGTTTGGGTGGGCCTGTATAAGAACGGCACCCCTGTCATGTACACCTATGACGAATATACCAAAGGCTACCTGGATCAGGCTTCAGGTAGCGCAATAATTGATCTCACAGAAAATGACCAAGTGTGGCTTCAGCTGCCCAATGCCGAGTCGAATGGCCTGTACTCTTCTGAGTATGTCCACTCCTCTTTCTCAGGATTCCTAGTGACGCCCATGTGAACCTTCTTACCAAGCTGATCAAAATCTGCTTGGAAAGCATCCCCACCCCCACCCCACCCCACAAAATGCATACAGAGGTAGGCTGGAAAAAAATGTGAGGAATTTGGTTTAGTTTCCCAAAATATGGATCTGAGCCACCAGATCAACAAATGTGTCCCCTGGTGAAAGGGAGGAGCCTTGAAGACCCTCTTGAATTTCTAGACACCAATCCGAAAGCCTTTTAATGTTTTCTCTGACTTCCTTCCATAGTTAACACTTTTACCCACCATAAAAATCTAAATTAAAAAAAACAACCACAAACCTATCACATATAAAACAGAGATACAATTTTAAATTCTGCTAAACTGAACTTAAATACTTGAACATTCCAATTTAAAAGACACTGTATGCCCTAAGGGATTTCTGATGGGGCATCACTCGAAAGCTTCCACGAACCCTTTTATTAAGCTTTTTTTTTTAACACACAGGCACATTAGTGTCTTTCTAAACACACTAATGAAGAAAGCCAAGGATTGTGTTAAAATTCACCAGAAATACAAGGTGCTGTACTTGTGAACCTTTTCAAACTTTTTTTGTGATTGTAAAGAAGCATTCTATTTGTATGCCCTTCACAACGTGAAAGGAGGTGTCTAACCTATTATTTATTGAAAGTCCTCAATGCAGATTTAAACAAACACTGTAGAAAAACAATTCATGATGCGATTCCTTTTCTTGTTATTCATTTGATTTCTTTAATTACTTCTTGGATCTTATGCAATCTGCCCTTGTGGGTTTACAGAACATTCCAATGTGGATATGTTTCCCATTCCCGTGAAGTGATAACAGACGTCACGGGTTTCCAAATCTGACTAGGAGTGAAAAGACATTATTTATTTATGCTCTGTACTGTATTTTTGTATTGCTGTTTAAAATTGGAAGCTGTGCCTCACTTATTAAAGTACACAATGTTTTACCTACTCCTTATTTACAGTGCAATAAAATAACATCAATAGATTTGTCTTGCTCCCGAATTTATTCAGAACCATTCACTTGCTAACTATGCTTTTCCATCTTTTAATTTTACGAAGTTAACTAGAAAACAGGATCATAAGGAAGTGAGTAGCTTTTACCATTGTCGTGGTTTTAACCTTTTCACCGTGTTTCCCAAAGTGGGCTATACCGCCCCCTGGAGGCCGCTGGGATTATCCAGGGGTCTGCAAAAGTGGTTACCTGCACTTTATGCTGGGTTATGGGCTGGGGTACCCAAGTTTTAAATTGGCAGGGGTGTGCTGAGTTAATCCCCCCCCCCCCGCCCCCCTGCAAGAGGGGCAGTAGGCCAAATGAGTTTGGCCACTTACTCTAACATTCCCACCGAGCAGCCTCTCAGTGTGGACTGGGAAAGGTGATCCCCACTCAGGGTGAGCCCATGTGTATCAGAGGAGAATGTCGCCCACAGAATGTTCAGTCCTGGGGTTTTCAGAAGTATATCACCAATCCTTTCTTCCAAGGCACCTCTGAGTGGACTCAAACTGCCAACGTTGTTAACGGTTTGCTCCACCCAGGGGCTCAATTGAGAAAACCCGCATGCGACATAACCGCGTGCAACCTAAGAGTTGGGGAGGGTCATGGGGAGCTGACGAGGCACACAAAAAACGAGCCAGTCACCCCCAGGCAGCGATATTCTCAGGAAGGGAATGCAAAGGGTGGCAGAGAAATACATCGTTTGAACAACATTCTGCAGCTGCCGTTGCCTGACAGGTTCTTAGTCGTAATATTTAAAATGATTGTGATAGCTTGGATTACATTAAAAGGAAGGCAAGCAATTTTTTATGTCAATCAAAAGTCAACATTTTTCTAAGCTGAAAAATACTGCTCTTGAGCATCCATCAGTCATTGGCTGAATCTGGGCAGTCCGGTTCATGCGGCTGGCACAACAAAGCATTTTTTTAATGTGCAAAAAGGGTTGCCATTGAGTGCGTTCTCACTCTTGGCGACCCGTGTGCATGCGAGTACAGTCGTGTGTTCTCGTTTTCCATGGCTGGCTCTCTCAAGTGCCTAGGAGTAAACTTGAATCTCCAACATTTTGGTTAGCAGCTGAATGCATGCCCTTTGAGACCACCCAGGGACTCCAGAAAAAAGGCAACTATTTTCATTAAGAGTAACCTCCCTGTACCCCAAGAAAACCTGTGAATGGTATTGGGAAATGCTAGATGGGGGGATGGTGATATCTTGGCCTCTTTCTGGGGCAGCCGGTCTCATTCCTTAAGTAGCAAAAACAGAGGTTTCACCCACAGGCCCATTTCCCATTTGCCTGTATCAACTACATCATTGAGTACAGATGTCTCTTTAGTCTCATTTTCAAGGCAGGAAACAGCAAAGCAGAAACTTCTATTCCAAAGAACGTATTGAATTGACCCTTTGGCAAGCGTGTAACAGATAGGTGAGCCACAAAGCTCAGGATACTGGCAATCATGCCCACGGACCACACATGACTAAAAGAACCTCTTCACATGTAAGCAGTGCCAACTTTACAGTGCTATTTGTTAAGATCGAAATAAACCCTAATGAACGAACATATCAGCGCAGCGGTTATGCATTAGGCTGCTAACTGTAAGATCAGCAGTTCAAAACCACCAGCCACTCAAAGGGAGAAATACAGGGCTTTCTACTCCCGTAAAGTCACCATCTTGAAACTCACAGGGGCGGGGCTACCCTGTGCTATAAGATGCTAAGAGTCACCGTCAACTTGATGGCAGTCAGTGCGCAGTGAACAGAGCAAACCAGCTACTGCTAACAAATTAGACATACAGCAGTTAACAAATACCGAGTGGGAAGCTTCTAGCCACATACATTAAAAGCTGATTTTTACCAGCAACTGTTTCCGTCTAAAAATCAAATGTATTTTGATCATTATTCTGTTCAAAAATTAAATACTTTCAGGAATTGTTATTAAGCATAGTAGAAAATATTTGGCAAACAATTATATTACTAGATGCTTTAGAAAACATAATATATTAATAAACTAAATTTTCTAAATGCAATTTAGAGAGCAAGATCTTCCATGAAAAATCACTGCTTCACAAATATATACATATACTTGTATGTACAGACATACACACACATGTATATGCATGAATGGGTTTCAGAAAGGTTATGAAAATGTCCATAATCTTTCAATTCCATTTTCCACCTACTCGTTGAAGTTACTTTGAATGACTGAATATCAGCGCAGTTCATATCACTCAAATAAAATATACCTTTTTTTAACTCAGTATAAAACATAAAAATTATGAAACACTTTAAACATTGAAGCAATTTTACAGTGAAAAGTTCGCAACATATCAAAACATACTACTAAGTGTTATGTGGCATCCATCAATGGTACTAAAAGGCCCAAAGCCCTAACACACAAAAAGCTGATTACTTTCAAATTCAATGCACACTTACCTGAATTTTAATGCAAAAGAGCAGGAAATCCCCTTTAAAAAAGGAGATAAAGGGGGTCCTAAAGCCAAAATGTAAATTATTTTGTGGAGCCTGTTTAAATCACAAAGCAAAAAAATATTATGTCAAAGTGTACAATTCTGCTGCCCTTTGTCTTGTGTGCGACATTCATCAATATCTTTGAAGATAAACTACTAGATATTTGTATCTAGTTATTCAAACTATGAGATAGCTATAGACTGATATATTTTACTTGAAGTAACTATGCACAAGAAAGGGACTATGAGAAAGTGATTCAATCTCACGCTAATAAAACTTCTAGAAACAAAAGTATGTGCTCCACAGAAACCATCATACAAGTGTAATTCTGGTTCCAAAAAATCATTGTATCTATTCTTTTACAAACACGTTAATTGTGACTCTAAAAGATAATATATACAGAAAGTACAGTAATTCTGACATGTACAATGGCCTTAAACTCTAGCTATAAAACCGATATAACCAGAGATCTATTTAATCTTGACATAGTACAAAGGAAAAGTTTATATGTACTGAACGATATTGAAAATGATTCATGAAATTTCATCATAATCCTGGTCTTATATTATGTAGAAGGATTAAATATGAAATTTCCTTACTTAGCTTTCCTTTTTTAACATTTAAAAAATTCTGTCAATGAAGTGGGAAATTTTTGTCCAGATAACAGGTCTTTCTTTAGACTTTTGCACCCTCTGCTGGTGAATAGCTTCATTAGCTGTGTGTGTGTGTGTGTGTGTGTGTGTGTGTCCGCGCGCGCATGTGCGCGCGCTTGCTTCCGCTTAAGTCATTATTTACTTTACTTTTTCCAAAAATATTTTGACTAAACCCACTGTTTTTCTTCCTCACTCACCTCTAAAACCACAAAGAATGAGGACCTAATGTCGGGGGTTTAAATGTAGAGAAAATGTTTTGAGAAACGATGTACAAATGCGCTTTACACAATTGATGTGTGTATGGATTGGGATAACAGTTGTATGAGCCCCTAATAAAATGTTAAAAAAGAAAAAAAAAATAAAACCACAAAGAAAATAAGTAGGACTCAACTCTAAAGTTACATATAATAAAATCCTCTGATTTATAACTAAATTTATCATAGTTTTAAAAAAGAATCCCCACTGTTAAAGAGTCTACCAGTTTAGCATATAAAATAGCCCCTGGCAGGTCAAAATAAGTGTAATATTTTCCTTAAAGAGAAGTTTTAAATTGGGAATAAATCAATGGCTCATTTGTATATAACATACAGAAACTTGGCTAAAGGGGCAGTATAGCTTTATATTTAATGATGTAAAAGAGTTCCCATTACAATACAAAATAGCTTCAACAACCCACCACCTATTCTAGAAGCTTTAAACTCTGAAGACAGTAAAAGAATTGTAATACTGAAAAGCATTATATTTACATGTACTTAAGAACTGTTTTTTAAAATGTAGAAGCTAAAGATAGACTATAGTTCAAATGAAAAGTGAGTTATGAAGAGATGATATAAATTACGCTATCAATGCCAATGTAACGCATCGCCACCAGCACTTGTTCACTCT